GCACTGTTGAACAATCATTCAATGTGATTGGCCAGTATTCTCAGGATATTGTTGTATTCTGAGTTTCATATGCAAATTATTATTGATTCCATTGAAATAAAGCATCCAATCATTGAGTAAAATAAAAATCAGGTCACAAAATTTTAGCACGCCCCATCTAGCAAACTGTCACGCTGTTTGTAAAACAATAATAAAAAAAAATCGAACCGTTTGTTTACAGTGTATCATAAATGGACATGGAAATAAATGCAAAGAAATTGGTAACACAGTGAGGTTGTGAATATATCTTAGAAAGTTGTGCAAACGTGTTATTAAAAAAATTGTCGATGAATGGCCATGTTTATTTGTTTAGACATATAAAATGGTAAAATTTTGATTTTTAAATATTTTAAAGTGTTCTTTGATGAGTATTCTACATACAGTATTTTTAAAAAATTATTGATACCTTGTATGCGCGTATGTACATATGGGATGAAAACAAAACTTTTTTTCAATGTTTTAAAATGCTGGCAAATATATGAAAACTTATAGGTAATTGTGTACATTCATTCTCTTATCCTTGACGTAAATTTAAATAGATCATCTGAAGTATGATAAGCAATAATATAGCTCAAACTATATCAAAATAAAGTTTCTAACATATAAAGGAAAAATGCCTATGAGCACCTGTAGTACATAATGTATAAGATAGTACAACCAAGCGCGGATCCAGATTTTTTTTTCCAAAGGGGGGGGGGGGGGGGAGGAGGGGGTGTCCACCCAAGTCAAAAAAAATTTCCATTCCATAAATTTCTTGAGAAGCCCCCCCCCCCAAAAAAAAAAAAAAAAAAAAGAAAAGAACCAATTTCGTGGGGTGGGGTAGGGTGTAGTGGATGACTTTCAGTGATTCTAATGACTTTTCACACCAATACCACATAGATCCGTGTTTTCAAGGAAGGGTTTTGTTTGGGGAGGGGTGTCCAAGGTCACTCTTACTTGGTTTATTATATACAAACAATAACTCTGCAAATTCCGGGGGGGGGGGGTTGCCCGGAGGACACCCTGTAGATCCGTGCATGTACAACAGAATAAAGTTGCTTAATAACATGTAAGAAAAAGAGGCCTTTAATGAAAATGATATTTGTAGAAGTAAAGAAAAACAACAAAATATAAGGGAGTGTATTTCTAATAATCATTTATTTCTCCTCCTATACTAATTGTGGAACTTTGAAATATTTCGGCATGCTATAGATCTATTTCTGTGCAATAAATCTCAGATAGTTTTTGGAAAATAGTTCTAGCTGTTAGCAGTAAAAAAAAAAATGAATTTTCCCCGCGCTTGCGCGGGATTTCAGCTAGTTTTTTAAATGTGAGCATAGAAATGAAAGATAATACATCATTTTTAATATTTCTTTCACAAATGGTTTTTAAGTAATATTTAGAAAAATCAAGAAAAAGCACTGTCTACTTTATAGCTGTTTCATCATCTAACTTTTCCTTTTCTTGGCCTTTTTTTAAGTTGGACAGCTATTTAGCCAATTTATGTATGTTATGTAATAGTCACATACTGGGAGGCCAATTGTTATCGCAAAATTGTTTAATATTTTTTCTTAGGAATTGTTTTTTTATGTTTCATTGTTCATAATGTTGTTTTCCAGTCTTTAAATTCAGTTTTATGTATCCTATTATGTGTTGTCATTTCATAATAAATGACATTATTTTCGGAACAAACATGTCTTGTGTTATTTGGAAAAAAACAAGCTCAATGTTGTCAGAGTGTTTAATTCAAGGAAAAAAAGATGAACTTAAAAGCATTTTCCCCATAACTTTGATTTTTTTTTTGTTTGGATCGAAATAAATATAACGTGTAGATTTTGGTTGGAACTTTTTAAAAAGAAATTTTTGACATGATAACATTCTAGGGAATTATCTCTCCAAATTTTATAATAGGTAAACAGTGTTTTATATGTGTACGCGTACTCTCGATAAATTGAATCAGCTTTATTTTTAGACCATGGTGTATCTTAGATACAGAAAAGTTGGTTAATACAAATACAAGGCTAATACAGAACGAAAAGTAACGCCGCCCACTGTAGTCCCTGTCAGAACAGCAAACTTCAAAGAAAGACACCACTTTAGTGTTCCAAAACATAATTATGGTACCGGAAAATGAGCTTCTCGATAATTTATTTTCAGACAGGGAAAGACCTTTAACTAAGCTTAAAACTGAATAATTTATTGACAGCAAATTAACAAAATTTGTTAAATTCATTTAATTATTTCTTGAAGATTTAACCACCATCGTATTGAAGAACTACGAACGATAGTATTGTTCTCCCGCCTACCTCGAAGTCAATTCTCAAAAGTTAACACATTTGAATGATTTTCAAAATTTTTATAGATATTTATATGAATTTTCATAAAACGATAATTATTTGGGATGTACCAAAGAGGGATAACTATATAATGTTGGCGAAACTTGTTTTTTTTTCACTATAGAAATCAACAGAAAACGGAAAATATTTTTAAAACATCTCTCTCCCCCCCCCCCCCCCCCCGTGAAACCAAAATTCCTTTTTACATATAATGTGAACTGTCATTTTACAAATTTATGACAAAGCTTTTTTTTTTCACGCTGGGGGGGGGGGGGGACATACGTTTATAGAAAAAAAACACAAAAAAGCTGATTTTTTCACCCATTTTAAAGCTATTTACAACTAAATAATTGTATTTTATTAATTTATATATGTTTTATTTTTGTGCTTAAAAATAAGACAAGATATAAGATATATTTTATCATATTTAAGACTATTTCAAAATATGTTGATACTTGAAAGTTCGATTTCACTAGAAAATATCGTCTACCCCCCTTTTTTCAAGAGCTGGAATTAATGATAATTTACTATCTAGCGCAGGAATTGATATCATATGATCAATCAATTACCATAGAACTGTTCTTTGTATTAAACAAAGATTTAATTGCTAAATTGCCATTAATATTGAATTTAATGGGTGCAAAATGTAGGCGGGAATCAAGAGTTAGAGTTCGTAGTTCTTTAACCTTTCATTTGTTTTGGTTTATAAACTGAGAAATGCAAGAGTTGCTGTTATTAATTTGGTTTAGACTGCCCTTTGTTTTGAGAAGTCCGGTAGGTGGCGACACCTCTATCCTCTGTTTTAATTAAGAGGATAAAATATATCCTCCAAAAACAGAGACCACGTAGACCTATATATAAAGGAGAAAAGAATAATAACATATATATTTTTATGTTCTCCAGTGTAATTTAACTAATTTTACAAGTTCAGTGAGGCTAGTTTTTTTGCACACACCTATAACCTTATGTAGACCATATCAAATCCATATAAAAGTACCAAAAACACAAATTCTTATGGATGAATTTATCATTTATTATACATGTATAAATGACGAAAGATAATCAAAAGATAAAGGGGAGATCACTCTCGAAAAACTGTGTAAATTTGTATAAAACATTAGTAGATCTCCACAGGGTAGCATATTACATCAAGAAAATCAAAATAAATAATCCAGAATCTAAAAAAAAAATAACAATCAGCAAAAAAAGGTGGCAGACAAAAACTGCCTCAGCAGATAAAACAAGAGGCCAATGGGTCAAATCCCTCACCTGAGCAGATCGGCTTGGAAAAAGCACATCAGATCAGAACTGAAACTAATCATGGCTTTAAAGTACTCGAGAAGATGATTTTAATAAAATATTTCCATATTTATTCCTTAGTAAAACTTTGATCAGCAATTCATATAAATATAACTCATCATGGCTTTGAAGTACTTGAAAAGATGATTTTAAAAGTTTTCTCTATATATTCCTTTGTAAAACTTTGATCGGCCATTTTGGCCCCTCCCTACCCCAGGGCATCATGATTTGAACAAACTTGAATTAACGCTACCTTAGGATGATTTCACATAATTATGTTTCATCTTTCCTGGCCCAGTGGTTGTTGAAAAGAAGATTTTTTTAAAAATTGCATAGTTTTTTTTCTATTTCATAATTATCTCCCCTTGGAAAAGGGCGTGGCCCTTCTTTTGAACAAACTTGAATCCCCTTTACCCAAGGATACTTTGTAGCAAGCTTGGTTGAAATTGGCCCTGTGGTTCTTGAGAAGAAGATGGAAATGTAAAAAGTTTACGACAACGCCGACGACGACAACAACAACAACGACAGACAACGGACAAATCTTGATCAGGAAAGCTCACTTGAGCCTTCGGCTTAAGCTTAGTTGTTAAATTACTATTAGCGTTTTTTTTTTCAAGTAAAATATCCGAAAATGAAAACAGATGTATCAGACTCTGCATCTGTGCTATGATGATCCATTTGTAAAAATTTTTCTTCTGTTCTTGTGCTGTAATGATAATTTTTTTAAAGAAAATTAAATAAATGTAATGCAAAAAAAAAAACTCATTAGTCAGATATCTTTTACAAAAGTAACAAACACAAATAGGTCTGATATTTGAAGCTCGATTCCCCTAATCCATGCCCATATCTTAAAAATATTTGCAATATTTATTTTCTAAATTGTTATCATTAAGGCCATAATAAAAATATTCCTAGATTCTCATCCCCGCCCGCCTCGATTTTATACCCCCGCCTCGATTTTTTTTTATTTCTGTTTTTCTTTGTCTTAATTCTGATCAGGATCGGTATTCATCTACATGTACTATTCTACTTTCGTTTTAAATCCCGCGAAAGTCGACATGATATTGACAGCTTAAAAGATGGTACATGTAATTGCTGTAATACATGCGTATATATTTTAAACAAGGGTAATTGGTTGGAAAAGATCGGTGATGATGTGAAGTAAGAGATAATTGAACCTTTACTATGACTTTTTTTCGGGTATTGTAGATAAAATTACACCGATTGACCAGGTCAATAAAAAATCTGCAAAATTGAAAAAAAAAACCATAAAATAAAAGCCGCCCGCCCGTCTCGATTTTTAAAAAAAATTCGGATGAGAATCTAGCAATTTATTTATTATGACCTAAGTTAGTGACTTCATTTAAGAATCGTTGCAAAATATAAAGTAAGGTTTTATTTTACATGATGTTACAGCTTTCTTCAAAGTTGGGTTTAAAACATTCGCATCTTATATATTTTCCATTTCTTTCTTCTCCACCTGAAATAGAAAGATTTCACTCGAAATAAAATCAAAGGAAATGTTATATTTCTACTCTTGAATGCATGGTGCATGCTGAACTCGTTTGGCATATTCATCGAAATACTATCGTATATTATTTAATACTAAGCACTGTGAGTACTGAAAGACGGTGGTATGAATGGTTTTATTTGTTTAACTTTCATTTAGAGTAAAAATTTTGAGCAGCGAGGGATGTTTTGTTTGCTAGCAATTACTGCGACACTGGATATCAATCTGAATCATGTCCCGCAGTGGGAGTCGAATCAGCGATGTACATATTTCATAAAAAAATAAAGCAAACTTCAAAAAGATCTATGCATATTAAACAAATTATAAGATTTGATATAATGCATTTTGTTGCCTTATCGCACAAAGAAAATAATGTCAAAGTGTTTAGAGCAGCGTCACGATTCCTTTTTGTTTAAAACAAGTTAGATAACTCCCACTTAAATTAAGAATTGCACATAGTTGAGTTTCCCTTAATTCTTTAAATAACAGCCTGAAACGAGTCTCGCACACAAATGGAACCTTGTGAAGATTTTTTTGTATTAAAGTTATGGACAATATTTTACTATCATTCAGCTAAATAGGTTATCTAATTAATTAGCTGTCAACATTGACAGCGTCTTTCACTTTTCCTATAGCTGTTTGATATGCCCATGGATTTAATAAAAAACCGATTTCGCTAAGGAAACTATCATTTCCCTTTGTACACTAAGATGAAAATTTGATCTGCTCGCCAGTGCGTAGAAACGTCATCGAAAGTCGCCATTTTTCAGTTGTTGTGTTTACACTTTCCTATTTCAGATGCTTGGTAAACTGCCAAAAATTAAGCAAATATCCTGAAATTTTCCAATAGACGACACAATATATAGTGATTAAAATGCGATAATGTTAAGCAAAATCTATTTGTTATCTTTATTTCGAAATAATACTCGACGTGTATAATTAATAAAGAGGGGAGGGGGGGGGTTATCATGCCTTTGTACATTAAAGCATGTTAAAAAAATATTAATTTTTGTCTATATTTTACAAGAAGAATTCAGAAACACTAAAATATAAAACATAAATACTTGTTAATAATTTCATCTTACGGCTCCCATTATTTTTCGAGAAAAAAGAGAAAAGAAAAAAACAAAATAACAAAATATTTTTCTGCCTCTATTTTTCTTCTTTCTTAAAATACATGTATTCGTTTTTCCTATATAGTAATTTAAACAGATATTACTGAGAAATTACTTCCAACAAAAGACTCACTTAAATAACAATAAACTAGTTATAGTTACACTATAGATATTAGTTGGTTAATGGTAAATACACTCACAGTTTTTAATTCACGAGGGGCGGAGCCCCGAGTGAATTAAAAGCTGTGAGTGTATTTACCATTTACCAATTAATATCTATTGTGTAAATTACTTGTACCAGAGGACCAATGAGAGAAAAGCTGGTTGACAGTTAGCACTGTCTACTTCATCCGGTCCGGAGTCTGTATGAATACCTTTCTCCATCTGAAAGGATCGTATTTTGAATGCTGCGTCCGGGGTATTGACGATAAAAAAAATCGGAATGACTTATCATTATTGGGTATGTGTAAAGATTTTGCACCGATTTAAACTTTTAATGTAACAGATGTTTAATGTGAAATTACTATTTGGAGACAAGAATAAGAATTAAGGCAATTCGAGATAGAAGGTATAAAGTTAACAGCATACACTTAGTAAAATGCGGAGCGAATGCCGACAAATTAATTTCAGTATTCTTGAAGTTTAAAATGTTGACTAAACTCAATTATCAGTTATTGCCAAGGTTTTGAAATAAGCATCATTTCTTCATCTGTCACGGTCTTGTTACATGTATTATGGCTTGATACCAAATCGTGGGCGTGACTTAAAAACTGTGGTTCTTCTGGCAAATACACAACAGCAACATCAAAGTAATATCTGAATTTACCGCCAGTCCTATGGTACAACTTAAATTGTACTGATTTAAAATTACACAAAATAGTATTTAAGAAACAACCGCGCTTGTGTTGTTTAGTATTTATAATTATTTGATTTCGGAGTTAGAAAGTGAAACAATAATTATTACCTACAAATATTTTTCATTAAATATTCTGACAATAAATAATTCTAAACTAACACAATGTGTACGAAATTACTTTTCGCACATGAGAGAAAAAAACGGAAAAAATCATGTACCAATTCACTTCTGTAGTTTGCATACGAATATATACGAGTTGGTTGGTGCACGAATTACATGTATTTGTTCATCAATTCAGCCTAATTCAATGAATATTCATGAGGCGAGAAATATTGATGACGGCAAATGTCAGGAATAAGGCTTTGTGTCAATCAACGAAATGTCTCCGAAATAACTTTAAAGTATTTGATAACTATGTACATTTCATCTTGAATCATCGAAACAAGTCTACTTTCATTATTTCGACTCTGCAAAAATCTCCGCTAGGATCCCCGTGTGTTTACATGTTGCTTATTCATAAGCCACGACCAGCAGCAATAGCCTGTGGCAATATATAGCCACCGTCTAAAAAGGACTAAAACTATCAGGTTTTGTATTCAAATTGATGGATATCGTCGATTAAAAGAAATGAAGATTGCTTGGATAAATGATGTTTGAATATTTTAAAGAATTATGGGCCTTCAAACATATGGCAGTCAATTCGTTAATCCAAATTGGTTGAGATCGAAGGTAAATCTTATATTGATCAATTTTAAAAAAAGTGAAATTTTGAACGTTCAAAATTCGTCAAAAGCTCTTTATTACAGAAAAAACAAAGACAAACGAAAATCCCAAATATACCTAGATATTTCAACGTATCTGTGGCGGAGTACTTTTTTATGCGAAAAAATGATTAAAAGGGATATCTATTGATCATATCAAATGTATTTTATAGTTATCATTCATCATTATCATCATAATGATTGCACTTTTACATATTCTCATAGAAAAAGACACGCTTTAAACAATTTTCAATTGAATTAGGACTATAATTGCAAAAGTATTTCCAGTATTATCATCATACATGTAAATTCATCTTAAATCATCAAGTTACCAAAATGGTTAAACCAAGATACACCAAGACCAGTTTTCATATTCTTTTTATCACACCGTCAAACTTTTTTGCATATCATGTACCCACGCGTTCCCATGTTCAATAATGTGTACAGGAGTATTCACTATTCCTGCAGACGGTCAATATTTCTTCAGAATGCTGGCGGTTGCTTATTTCTACTAGATGTCATAACATAAAAATCTAACATCGATATAATTACTTCGACCACATTCAGTAAGTTTTATCTATTGCTGTTTTTTCGTTTCTATCCTGAAAAGATGCCAATAATTGCTGTCAAATTATTATTTTTTGATAGATTGAAAGTGGATGTTGGCTAAATAAAGGTTAAAAATGTTTTTTGAATAAAATAAACGATGAAAAAAAATTACACATTTAATTGTAGCCGCAATAAAGGAAAGAAAAACAAAACATTGCAAAGCATTTGTGTTTTCAAATATAGTTAATAACTAAAACGTCATCCCTAAATTAGTAAATATCTACACATTTAACTGTACTATAAGTTTTTCTTCGTACGCATGAATTGTTTTCCCGTTATTTCCCGATCACGACAAGGGACACACGGAGGGTTTGACCGGTCAGCACAGGATGCTCACTGCTTCATGGTACCTGATCCCACCTCTATTGTTTCGGAGGCCCGCTGTTTGCTCTGCTCCTGTTTTGTATTGTTATTGTTTTATGAACTTTGAGATTGAATACTGTTATCTCCATATCCTTCTTTTATTATTTTATTTGTCACCGGTTTTTTTCCAAGCAGATATCTATTGTAAAATTGTGGAGAGACTGATGAATTTGGTTCAGCATGAAAACCATACTAACTTTTTTTTTTTTTATAGAAATTAACTATATAGCTTTTTGATTCTTTTTGTAATATATGCTTCCAGTTTGTAAGTACATCAATTGTACTTTCAACATAAATTTAATCGAATGTTTCTTGATTCCAAATTTCTCAACATATGAATTAAGGTAAAACATGAGTAAACTTTCTACTAGTCAGTACCGGGGTATCTATGTATTCCTGTCACAAATACCCCAGTGGACATCTTCAGTGTGGCAGGAAAATCTTCAAATCTAATAGATGTAGGTTAAGAGACACAGTAATTGAAAATTGTATGAACATTTTAATAATATTATTGTAAAAAAATGTAAAATAACATGATATAAAAATAAAGGACTGTACATGACTCATTCCGTTATAATTTATACATGTTTACTTGAATGTAATGTGTAATTTAATTAATTGCATTTGCAAAGTAATTATATTTTAATTAATTACATTTCCAAATCCATGTAATGGTAATGGTAATATAATTGAAGGTTTTGGGAAAGTAATTGTAATTTAATTAATTACTTTCCTATGTAATTGACCCCATCCCTGTATGCATGGTAAGGTGAAAAAAGGCAAATTAATCAGGATTATAATATTGCTAGGAGCGCCACTTGTTATATAAAACTTATGTCAAAAACTTTTAACATTTGATTGCCTATATAACAGACTGACTTGTCTTTCGTTTTATTTATCAGATTTTTGTTGTTTCATCTTTTGACTTCTTTTATCAATCGCTTGCAATGATACCACACCTTGCAATTGTCAATTGCTGAAAAGCACATATTCGTTCAATATACCTAGAAAAGTTTTAAAACGCTTAGTATTGCAGTCTTTTGATGGTTTTAAGCTCCACTGGGGGTTCAGAGGAACAAAGAAAATAGTGTTTTTAAAACACAGTTATAGCAGAACTTAAACACAACTTACTTTGATTCAAAGTGTATTGTTATATATATCTCACATAGTTGTAGATATACTCACTTTATATATCCAATTACAACCGCTGCAAGTATTCCAAAGAAAACAATTGACGTTGTAAGAACAATTATCCAACCATTTTGCTGTTTTTCATTATGATTCCTGTAAATTAATAATAGTTTTCCCTAAATTATATGTAGCAGCAGTAAGACTAACCCGTAAAAATATTTTATTACTGAATCAATACATTTTTAAATCAAAAAATATAATGAAATATATTTAATTGGTTTGCCTATTAACAGTTTTATTCTAGTATGCTGACCTTAATTTAACTCACAGGTTTGAATATGATAAGTTTATATAATTCTTTTTTGCCAGTGTAAGTGAATATGTTTTGCCAGTGTAAGTGAAAATGCTGTAAATAAAGAACATAAAAATGGAAATTTGCATAATAAATTTGTTTGCAGACCTCGATATGATTTTATAATTTTCCACACTTGAGTGTATTTTTTTTATTTAAATCAATTTTATGTGTTCAAGATCATTTAGATGCAATGACCTAAAACATATGAATTGGGATGAACACCAAAGTTTTATTTCAGACTTTAAAATAACATGCAAAATGCAGTTATATCGACAATTATGTACATGCATTTATTGATAATGGTAGAGCTTTACGATTTAAGATCAACCTACTTATCCTTTGTGCTTTTTGTAGTGATGGCAGGCATTAAAGTCGTATCAGAGAGCTTAGAAGAATTGAAGCTGTTTTTCTTCTCTGCTTTATAGCAGGATTGATCTAGAAGACGAAAAAATCTTCATATTCATTGAAACTGAAAGCAAGAATGCTATCTTTTCATATTGTCAACACATGGCCATTGCTTGATATTCTATTTTTATTAAAGTAGGAATCCTTTAGTCCAGGTATGAGATTGTTATTTTATTCTTCCTATCTCATATGATATTCTCAATGTATCAACAAAAAGATTAAGAATGATATTTTACATTTGTATGCCTCTGTTGACTTGTATCTTGTTGTACAAGGAGGATTCAAAACCAAACAATTCCGATAATAATTATTCTGAATCCTCTGGCCTTTAACATTGTACTCCATGCAGTAACCTAAAATAAAAAAAATATTTCAGTTGCGATAAAACATGAATATTTTTAAATATATCAACAACTTTCGGTAGACACAGCGTTGGTAAACTGACATGTAATACAACATATCTTATTTTTAAGGCAATTCAGATTTATAATCGCCATACGTTTATACGCATTCGAAATTAATAAAAGTCATTCAGTCATTAATATATCATGGGAAAGAAAAAAATGAAATACGATTCGATGGACATAGTAAATTACCCAGCATGTATTTCATTATGCTACATAATTCCCATGATTCATTTAGAAAGACATTCAAAGCGCAATGGTATTTATGCTGGCTTTGTTGTGAACAATTTTGCATTATATATTTGCAGTTCATTCTAGCAGCAGCGTCTTTCCATTCTACTTCGCTCTTTGGACATTCATCAACAAGCCTGGCAGTCTGCTGTATGCCTGGACAGTTAATGACACACAAAACCTACAAAATGTTACAGAAAGATATATAAATAAACTAAAAACAATACATGAGTTCAGTTACTAGAGTTGATGGAATGATTACACTACTTAATAATTTGATATTAGATTAGCTATTTTATGGGATATATACATATGCATTTTTAAATTCGAATAATAATTATTTATTTTTACAATTTTAAACAAAGCACTGAGTAAGTACAAATTACCTGCATATCATAAAAAAGAACTATCAGACAACAAAATGTTTTTATTAACAGCATGATGTGGGACAGGTAAAAACCTCGAAGTGCAACCCTTTATATCATTCCCATAAAAAGTTCTCTTTAAAGAGTTGTCACAAAAAGTACTTCGTCCAAAAGCTTGATAATCCTACAATGGAGTAAAAGTTTAAAACTAAAAGTAAAGTAGGCGATCCATTTCGAAGTTTAGTTTCATTAAAACAACAGAAATGTAAATTTGTAAATTCTTATGAGGCGAACTAGAAAAAAAGTCCGAAATCGACACTGGTTAATTCAACAAAAGTGTAATTTATGTTAATAAAATAACGGATAATTCCCCATGTACATGATTTAGTTGCCATTAATGTGCGGCGTTGAATGGCAAGGTGAAGATAATGATCCTAACTGAATGGTCAAACTAAAATCCGAACGTATGCTTTTCAAATGCTTCTTTCTATTCACTTCTTCTTTCGTGATACGTCACTCTCGGTTTTGCAGGATTTCCGTGTATACTTAACAGTTTCTTCAGATCTTGTATCTATTTTTAACACTAAAAATATCACACTTACTTTTTCAGAATATTATAACATACATAAAAATACAATTTTAAGCACACGTCATGTGGACCCCCATCCTTTCAGACACACATACATACAAAAGTAATATTGAAAGAGTCCTAATTAGACTATGATTTCTTTTTTCCTTATTAATGTTAGCAAGCCTATTAAACTCAAATGTTTCCCTCAATGCTATTTTTGTTCACGATAAATGAAGAGTGCAGGGAAATGAGTTGCATGCAAAATATTTATACAGTAACTGTTAAAGAAAGGCATAGGACATCATTAACACAAGTAGATTTGAAAAGAGATATGTAACAAAACGTAACCAATTTAATTTCAAATGGTAAATAATCATATATATTATATAAAGTTCGTTAATATGGTGCGGAGCTAGATGGATACATGATATTTAACAAAATTATGCAGGATGGAAGCTATATTGATTACAAGTCTGTCTTGAAAAATTCAAATTAAAATGATTTATACTTTTTAAAATAAAGAATAATATACAAAAGGGAAGTACGGTAGTCGCCGCATCTAAATAACGTCATATGACGATTACACGGCGTCATACTCTTAAGCGCTTTCCCTTTGTTAAAAAAAATATTTGATATTCACGAACACATTCACAAACGTCACTTTTTAAAAGAATTATTGGGACCCATTGCGCAACCACTATATATATAATTAAGTCCTCTGTCAAAATACTTAGAACGGCCACCACAAGACAAACTTTTGTTTCATATCGCTCTGAGACACCTATCTTACATTTGACAACATAGGACATCATTTCAACGTTTCCGCCCGACCTCCCCGTTTCAGTCTCCCTATCCTCTGCTGATCATTCAATGACCCATGGTTTGTTAAAAATCGCTAAAACCATTTATAAGCAAGTTTCTTATAATTACATGCATTTACATGATTTCCTCTGTGTGTCTAGCTAGTTAATAATCGTAACTGTCTCTACTGACGAAAACGCATTACAGCTCGTTTTAGATTTTTTTTTTACAGTTTGAAATTACCGGTACCTTTGTTCAATACATTATGATTAGATTAAAACAAAAAAATGTTTATAGTTAAAAGCAATTACGTTATTCTATTTCAAACTAAAGGCTAGGGAATGTCGTAAAATTTTGTCTTTTTAACTATTGGGCAATTAGACATTTTACATGCTTTTTAATGTGTTTTTCTTCTTTAATTCTAATAATATACAAAAAACGAGACCTTTAATAGTGACGCAGCGACACACCTTAACTTGAATGTTTTAAATGTTCATAAAATTAATTCAATTGACCATTATTATACCCGCACTTTCTAAAGAAAGTTCGGGTATATTGTTGTTATTCATGTCCGTCCGTCCGTCCGTCCGTCCGTCTGTCACACTTTTTTCCCTGAACTCCTCCTACATTTTACACAGTAGCTTAATCATGTTTTGGGAGATGGTTGGTGGTGTCAGGTAGATGTGCAGTAAGGTTTCCGAATTTTGATTTTGCCCCGGGGGGGTCAAATGGGGGTCGGAAAATGACGTTTTTTGTGCAAAAACTCCCGTCTTCCCTGAACTCCTTCTACATTTTACTCAGCAGCCTAATCACCTTTTGGGGGATGATTGTTGGTGTCATGTAGATGTTCAGTAAGGTTTCGGAATTTTGATTTTGCCCCGAGGGGTCAAATGGGGGTCGAAAAATGATGTTTTTTATGCAAAAAGCCCCGTCTTCCCTCAACTCCTTCTACATTTAACACAGTAGCCTAACCATCTTTTGGGAGATGGTTGGTGGGGTCATGTAGATGTGCAGTAAGGTTTCCGAATTTTGATTTTGCCCCGGGGGGTCAAATGGGGGTCGAAAAATGACGTTTTTTATGCAAAAAGCCGCGACTTCTCTGAACTTCTCTTACATTTTACTCAGCAGCCTTATCATCTTTTGGGGGATGATTGGTGTTGTCACGTAGATGTGCAGTAAGGTTTCGGAATTTTGATTTTGCCCCAGGGGGTCAAATTGGGGTCGAAAAATAACGCTTTTTTTATACAAAAGGCCCTGTTTTCCCTGAACTCCTCTTACATTTTACTCAGTAGCCTATTCATCTTTTGGGAGATGGTTGGTGGGGTCATGTAGATGTGCAGTAAGGTTTCGGAATTTTGATTTTGCCCCAGGGGGTCAAATGGGGGTCAAAAAATGACCTTTTTTATGCAAAAAGCCCCGTCTTCCCTGAACTCCTTCTACATTTTACACAGAAGCCTAATCATCTTTTGGGAGATGGTTGGTGGTGTCAGTTAGATGTGCAGTAAGGTTTCCGAATTTTGATTTTGCCCCGGGGGGTCAAATGGGGGTCGGAAAATGACGTTTTTTGTGCAAAAAGTCCCGTCTTCCCTGAACTCCTTCTACATTTTACTCAGCAGCCTAATCACCTTTTGGGGGATGATTGGTGGTGTCATGTAGATGTGCAGTAAGGTTTCGGAATTTTGATTTTGCCCCGAGGGGTCAAATGGGGGTCGAAAAATGATGTTTTTTATGCAAAAAGCCCCGTCTTCCCTCAACTCCTTCTACATTTAACACAGTAGCCTAATCATCTTTTGGGAGATGGTTGGTGGGGTCATGTAGATGTGCAGTAAGGTTTCCGAATTTTGATTTTGCCCCGGGGGGTCAAATGGGGGTCGAAAAATGACGTTTTTTATCCAAAAAGCCCCGACTTCTCTGAACTTCTCTTACATTTTACTCAGCAGCCTTATCATCTTTTGGGGGATGATTGGTGTTGTCACGTAGATGTGCAGTAAGGTTTCTGAATTAAGATTTTGCCGTGGGGGGTCAAATTGGGGTCGAAAAATAACGTTTTTTATACAAAAAGCCCCGTTTTCCCTGAACTCCTCTTACATTTTACTCAGCAGCCTATTCATCTTTTGGGAGATGATTGGTGGGGTCATGAAGATGTGCAGTAAGGTTTCGGAATTTTGATTTTGCCCAGGGGGTCAAATGGGGGTCAAAAAATGACGTTTTTTTTGCAAAAAGCCCCGTCTTCCCTGAACTTCTCCTACATTTTACATAGTAGCCTAATCATCTGTTGGGATATGGTTGGTGGTGTCAGGTAGATGTGCAGTAAGGTTTTTGAATTAAGATTTTGCCGTTGGGGGTCAAATGTGGGTCGAAAAATGATGTTTTTTGTGCAAAAAGCCCTGTTTTCCCTGAAGTCTTCTTTAATGTTACTCAGAAGCCTAATCATCTTTTAGGAGAGTTAAATATTTTGAAAATTATGTAAAACATCAACGTCAAGGGGTAAAAAAGCATCACATGATGGGAAACACCTTGAATTCTTATGAGTAATTAATGTACATGTCAAATGTGAGAGTCATATCTCATCTCAATCAAAAGTTATAAGCAAATGCAACATTTTTGAAAAGTAGAGGCTTGACCGCTTCAAGGTCAAGGTCACAGAGTAAAAGTCATGATTTATTTGGAAAGGTCTTATCACAGGTAATAATATACATGCATTATGATATGAATGCCCTAACTTTTCTCTTTCAAAATGATGAATTTATAACAATTTAATTTTTTTGCAAGTAGGTCAAACTTCTAGGTCACAGGTAAAAAAAAAACCCATGCCATTCTCACAGGTAAATACTAATACATAAGTTTGATATTCAGTAGATATGACCGTGATGACCAAGGTTAAATTTATTGAGACAGATGGACAGTCTGACATACAAATGTACACATTTCTATATGAATTGGGTAAAATTGGCCCAGTGGTTCTAGAGAAGTTAAAATGTAAAAATTTTTCAGACAAACAGATGGACGACACGTCACGACAGACGTTATATGCTAAGGAAACCAGAAAAGCTCAAATGAGTGTTTTGAAAGGGTTAGAATATGGTTGCAGTATTTGAAAAGCTGTTTTTTTCATGCAGAGATATGCATGACCAACATATTCATGTTTTATATTTTCTTTAGTAATTTGTTTGTTTGTTGTGAATACATCTCTCTTGGGAATTTTTCCCTCATATGGAGACACCACCAAATAATAATGAAGACAAGATGTGTTTGTGAAACACTGATGTCCCTGTATGGAAGCCTGTGGCGAGGGTTGAAGTTTCTCAAATATATGTCAAACTCAAAGGTCAAGGTCAAAGGGTTCAAATTGTTAGTATCAGAAGAAAGTCTTGTCACAAGGAATGCACATGTGAAATAAAGAAATCCCTAGTAATTCCTGTTCAAAAGTTAATTGCCAAGGTTAATTTTTTTTTAAGTCGTTCAAACTCTAGGGTCAAGGTCAAACATATTTATACCTGTTGACAGTTCACAATGAATACACATGTTATTAAGCATGAAAGCCCTAGCATCTACTGATCAAAATTTAGGTCAAGTTTAACGTTTGGTATTTTTCTTGTAAAAATGTGTATCCTAGGTCAAGCGATTTCAGGTAAAAATTAATGGTACCCAAATAAAAGGTCGTAATTGTCACAAGAAATAAACCTTTAAAATGTGGAAGCCATTTGTATAGCCCATCCCACTTAAAACTTATGGGCAAGGTTATAATTTCTGCAGACAAATACTAGTAGACAGACATAATATAAAC